TTCACACCACTCCCTCAGGTACAATTCACTTTTCTGTTCTCCTACAGCAGTGAACATTCTCTTAGCCTTTCTAATTCTGATCTAGAGAGTTGTAGGGGTGATTAAGAGTGTAAACAAGGAGCAATTTCAAGGAGGCCCAGTTTGTATCTATCTCCTTCACAGAAATGAACACGATTGCATTTTTGTGTATGGGGCAGAAGCAAGGGAGGTGGAGTGCCACAGAGGCATGGATAGTATGGCTGGATATTTCTGGGCCATTGGAGTTACCAAGATCACTGGGGCTGATTCAGGCCCTAACTAGCCAGGACAGTGTCCTAGGGCCTGGAAGTTTCCCTGGAGTATGGACCTCATCTTCAGCACATGCTTTAAGGAGATCCCATCTAAGCAAAAATCATCTGTGGATCACTCAATTTTTATGGCCTGTAACACCTGGGAAGGTGTGCTGTTACTTAAGAACCTGTCTTACTGGTCAGGTTAACAACACATTTTAAGTCCAGAGCATGTTACAAAACATTTCTTTGTTTTCTGGAGGGGTTCAAAGTTGAGTCAACCTTAGAAAGGTGTCTGGAAATCTTTTTCTCTTGTGTCCCACTCTCTTCTCCTGCCCTTCTGGGGGAGCTGCTTCCATCCTCCAGGCGCCCACAACAGGCAGGTCCAGGTAGGATTGTGTCAGTAGATTTTTACAGCCCTTTCTGGGTGTCTTCTTAGGAGTTTAGACGATTTAGAAAAACACATTTGCAAGACACATAAACCCTTCTGTTCTTGGTATTAATCGTTTCTCATAAATACCTCTGATGTTTATGATCAAAGACCTGCTTCCTGTAAGTGGCAACAGCGAGGAGGAGCAAGGCAGGAAACGGGAAGGGGAACCCTCATCTTGCCACATGCCATAGAGGTCCTTAGGCCAAGACCTTGGGCAGCCCTGGGGCAATATCTAGTTGTTTTGAGACCCACGGAAAGGAGACTAGGAAGATGAAACATGCATGAAGTCTAATTCTGAGTGGGGGATGAGGCATGCTGTATGTGGGAGCATGTGTGGGGTCCACACTGTGGGCAGTGGTATGAGATTGTAGTGACACAGCTCCCTCCACCTACCCATTTGTGCATCTTTTAGTTGCTGGAAGCAGCTATGCTCTTATCTATAATGAGTATCCTTTCTGCTTTTTAAAATGCTTGGATTTTCTTTCTATGAATTTCCACTAACATGCATCTTTAGGAAGAGAAAGATTCTGCTTTATTCATATGGAGTCATTTATACAATATCGACTGAAGTCCAGAGCCTCGTGAGGTACATAAATATGACCAGAGGCTGAAAAGCATTGGGAGCATCTACTAACTATGTAATATGTTATTTTCCATGGCAGCAATATTATTTTAAGTACAAATTATATGGAGAGTGAATATAAGAATTTATTAATTAATACTTATAAATCCATTTAAGCTGGTCAGATAAATGGATAATCTAAATAGTTATGGTTAGAAAGGCTGACATGGGTTTGAGCTTCACAACATAAAACCTTCATCCCTTGGCCTTTTCCCCCAGCATTCTGCAGACAAACACTGGCTCATTTGAAGTTCTGACCTTCAAGATTTCAAAAGTAGGAGCTGAGATGCAAAAGGCATATGTCTTTTGAAATGTGTTTCTTTTTAGTCTGACGCTCAAAAGAAAAAAATATGGTGATTAATTTGATGGTCATGCACATAAAAGTATATTTTCCCCAGCAGGGCGCAGTGGCTCACACCTGTAATCCCTGCACTTTGGGAGGCTGAGGTGGGTGGATCACCTGAGGTCAGGAGTTTGAGACCAGCCTGGCCAACAAGGTGAAACCTCATCTCTACTAAAAATACAAAAAATAGCTGGGTATGGTGATATGCACCTGTAATCCCTGCTACTCAGGAGGCTGAGGTGGGAGAATTGCCTGAACCCAAGAAGTCGAGGCTGTAGTGAGCTGAGATCATACCACTGCCCTCCAGCCTGCGTGATAGAGCGAGACTCTGCCAAAAAAAAAAAAAAAGGAAGAATACTTTTCCCTGTGAGGCAGTACAATCATGAGGGTTGGGAGTGCAGGCTCTGGGGCCAAACTTCCTGGGTTTACATCCCTCTCCTGCCACTTGCCAGTGCCAGCTGTGTGGTCTTCAGCAGGTCACTTAACCTCTCCATACTGCAATTTTCATCCTTTGATAGCTTGGATATCTGGATGGCAATGTGCCAAATCATATGCCTTTCCTACCAAACAACTTGTTAATTAAGAGTGCTTAACATGTGCAAAATACTTAACCAATGCTTTCTTAATTAGTCAGCATTCTCCCTTGCAAACTGGCGCTAACCACTCTGCCTCACAGCAGTAAGATTTCCTGGAAAGCCAGTGGAAGGCTACAGAGTGGAAAGAAAGCAGGAGTGCCCACCCGGGGCTGGGAGTTGAGGATGCTGTGGCAGCAGGCAGCAGAAGGCGCGCCTAGGTCACTCTTGGGACTGTTCTGGCGCTCAGAGTGCCCGTGCAACTGGGATGCATCTGACTTCCAAACATTCCTCCTGTTCCGACAGCTCGCAAGATTCAGAGTCCTGGAGGCAAGGGTATTTGGCTAAGTTTCAGGCATAGTTCTTCCTGCCCTCCTCCCTACACTGTATCAGGAGTGGGTAAAAGATATATCTGATCCCCTTGGTTTCCATAACAGGAGGTGGCAAGGGAAAGTAGGCACTGGGATCTGTCTTCTTGCCAAGATTACATAAAATGGAGAATTCCATCCGTAGGAACATGTGGTGCTTAGAGTGGAGGTGTGTGGATTCTGGGCAGTCAAAAAAAAAAATCACAAATCTTTGCTAAATTTGTATAAGGCTTCAAATTTCTCTCAATAGCCCCATGAGCAGTGTTGTGCTGGTTAATCTAACAACTGCCTCCCTGGTCCTGATTTGTAGCATTTGTCCATTTTCTCAGGGAGAACCCACTCATCATGGCTAATTTCAAGCTGCCAACATGACAGCACTTAACACAGCTGGGAAGAGATACACAGTAACATACCGCCATGCAGCATCTTTACCACACAGCTACAACAGATGTAAATAACCTCAAATGAACAGACAATAGTGAAATGTAGTACTGAGGCTGGTGCAAATGCAATCACAGTTTTTGCTTTTAATGGCAATTTAAACGGTATTAATTACCTTTGTTGTTAACAGAAATGTAGTTTCTATAAGTTAATTTTTAATAGTAGCTGGAATTTAACAATTGGTTTACAAAATTGAACAATCAGCTCCTGTGAGTCATTACGAGCCAGCTCCAGCCTACCACTGCCTACGAAGTGGATCAATATAATGTTGTTGAGAGAGAGACAAAGAGAAAATGAAAGAAAGATTATTTATGCTTATGCAGGAAGATGTTTGGATGGAGAGGCCCAGGCCCTGGAAATTTCCTACAGTAGCTTGTAACACTGGGGACCCTTGGTAATAAAGTAACAACAGTATCTGACATTTATATAGCAAAACACGTTTTTATTTAACATTTACTCATTTTTGAGCCTCATAACAAATTCAAGGGAAAGAGAAGCAAGGCATGTTACAGATGAGGGGACTGAGAATCACCCAGCAAAAGTGACCCCTGACAGGTGGAGCTGACACTAGAATCAGGTCCATGACACTTCCAGTTCACAGACGGTTTTCATACCAGCCTGTCTCTTTGAACCCCTGTCATCCCTGGAGCAGCCACTTATTACAATCTGGGGTGCTGTAAGGCCTCCTCCCCAGAATTCAGTCTAGGAGGCAGTTCCGTATCTTCATATATAAAGAATAAAGTTAAGTTGGGCCCACAAATGGGCAATGGTAACTGGCTGTATTAGCAGCTGTCAGAGCTGACTCCGAGATGGGCTCCAGTGATCCTTACTCCTTGGCGTTCATGCTCTTGGACTCCTACACTGAATAGGGCTGACCTGTGTGACCAGGAGGATAAAGCAGAAGTGATGGCATGTGACTTCTGAAGCTAGTAGTAAAGAGCACTGCAGCCTCTGCTTTGTTTTCCTTTATCACTTGTTCTGAGGGGAAGCTGGCGGCTGTGTTGGAAACACCCATGGAAGGGAACTGAGGCCTCCCACCAACAACCAGCCCTACCTGGCAGCCAGTGAGTGAGCCACTCTGGAAGTGGATCTTCCACCTCCAGACAAGCCGTCAGCTGAGGGCAGACCTGGCTGACACCTGAACGGAGCCGCATATGAATCACGCAGCCAGTGGTCCCACATTTCAGACCCACAGAAACTGTGAGAGATGATCAATGTTTATGTTGTTTGAAGCCACTAAATTTGGGGGTAATTTGTTAAGCAGTAATAGATACACTGAATTGCTTTCAAAGCTGAACGATATGGGTTATGGGTCACGTCAACCAGAGAGAGAAAGGCATGAGGGACTCAAGAAACACTTTGAGTAAATTTGTTTTCCTCTTTTCACCAACGAAATTGAATTCGAGGCCAATATTTGAAAGCTTTGTACTATATAACTTCTGAAATACATTTTATTCTTAATGCGTTCCCAAATGACCTGTTGTCCATAGAAAAGTACACTCAACACTGAATGCTTCTGCTACTCTGAAGAGCAAGACAGCTCGAAGTGGAATTCACTCAGGCATCTCATAGCACGAAATCATCTCATAGCCTTTCAGACCCTATCTTCACTGTCACCTTTCAATCTTTTGGGTCTCTGGGCCACCGCATCCCCTGCCGTTTCGGAAAGCAGAAACGGAGGGATATAACGAAATAATTTGGGAAGCGACTGGGCTAGGGACCCTGCTGGATGTTGGTGGTGGAACTTTTAAATCATTTACAAAACACCAGTCCCGATCTCCTCTGGGAGACTGAGCTGTTGTTACCTCTTCTCCCGGCGTCCCTGCCCGCGGAAGTTCGCTCCTAGGGAAGTCGCTCGCGTCCTCAAGAGCACGGGAGAGGATCTCGGCGAAGCGGAAGGCTCTGGTGCCAGCTGGGAGAGTCGGCGCCGGATTTCCTCGGCTCCTTGGCGCGTTTCCTCGGAGGCGGGGGAGGCCGAACACGGACCCCGGAGTCGGCGCCCAAAGCGGGGCGCCCTCGCGCGGGGCGGGAGTGCGGGGAGGTGGGTGTGCGGGCGGCGCGCTCGCCCTCCAGTTGCAGCCCGCGCGGAGCGCGCACCGCCAGCGAGCGCCGGCGTCTCCAGCATGGAGTGGGAACTCAACTTGCTGCTCTACCTGGCGCTCTTCTTCTTCCTGCTCTTCTTACTTTTCCTCCTGCTCTTCGTGGTCATCAAGCAGCTTAAGAACTCCGTGGCCAACACTGCCGGGGCGCTCCAGCCCGGGCGCCTCTCGGTGCACCGCGAGCCTTGGGGCTTCTCTCGGGAGCAAGCGGTGTGACCCGAGTGCGGGCACCGGCGGGAGGGCACCGAGCTGCGCGGGCGCTGGGCTGGGTCTCCGCCTGGATTCTCCGTCCTCGCTGCCTCCCAGCTTCCAGGTGCGGGTCTCGGCGGCTCTGACTGGTCTGTTCCGGCGTGAGGCGCGGGGACCCGAGTCTCCGCTCCTGTGGGAGGCCGGGGTCTGCCAGCGCGTTCGGGTGGCAGGGGCGGTGGATGTATGTATTTCTGGGCTGAGATCTTCGGAAGGGACCCCCAGCTGTTCCAGGGCTGGGAGAAATGGCGAAAAGAGAATTCGCTCTTTGGAGCCGGAATGAGTTTGGACATCTGCAAGCTCTTCTCAGTTCAACTGCATTTTAGTTATACCCAAGGAGTGGAAAACTAAATTATTCAGAGAATTCAGTTCAGCCACTTTCGAACAAAATTGAAGGTTAACCTGAATATCCACATTTTTGAGAAAGAGTGTGTGAGATTTGGGAGGGCTGGCATGAGGAAACAGGGCGCACTTGAAGTATTTTAAATATTAGTTTACATATTTTTGCTCTTTGGGAGATGGTAAATGGAGTTCATCTGGTGGTGCTGGGGTTGGGGGCGGGGGAGAGAAGGTTCAGTGGTCCGTTTGGAGGGAGGAATCCCTTCCTCCTGGTGATCCTTACTCATATTCTAGCCACCAACCACGGGTAGTGCCTGCGAATTGCTGTGCAGGGTGGGTTTTGAATCTGGGACAGCGGAGGATGAACGCTGCAGTGAGAGTTATTTGGCAGATACCTTAGGGTTAGCCGGTGTGTGAACTTTTGGGTGATGGCATGGAGGGCCGGCTAAGAGAGGCACTGTATGCATAGTGTAGGGAAACAGGGAAAAGGACGAAGAAGCGGGTCTGTGGTTTCAGGTTAAATTACTAGAGCTTTTGTAAAAGATGGGCAGGCAGGAGTAAACTCGAGTACCAGTATGCCCTAAGTACTCTCTCGGTAATGTTAATTTGGGAAATAACTTCGTTCTTCAGAAGCGTTTCCCTATATTTATGTTGTCTCTCTTTCTAGAGCCTAGAGCCTCTGCCCTTGACTGGTGCATAGAGGACCACAGCTGCAATGACAGTTTGGGCCTGCGAAGAGAAGGCTGGAACAATAGGAGAGGGAAGCTTTCTGCACATGGTAAGTTGGGAATGACACATGGTTTCATGTTGGCCTTAGTTAAGACTAAACTTCTAAAGATCCTGGGCCTAAAAAAGTGTAGGTTCAGGATGGGGGAAATGGGTACAAGAAATGAAGGGACTCTCTCCCACTCAAAACTGGTGAGCTTCTACCAGGACCACAAAGCCAAACTGACTCCTAACTCATTGCAAGAATCAGTGTCTCAGTAGAGGACTATGGAAATTTAAATGAGATGTCAGGAGTGTTTGCAATTTTAATAATCATTCTGCTCTTTTGAAACACAGTGCAAGGATTCTTGGGGTGAAATATGTGTTGCAGATATACATGGTCTTCAGTAAGGGAAGATTTAGGCTTAGTCGTGTTAGTGTGGGATAAGCTAAGTCATAATTGTAGTATTGAAAACACTAATTTTAGACACAAAGAAAGACCATGGAGAGAGGCTAAAAAACATGAAATAGTAAAGTTTCCCTATGTTGGTAATATAAAAGTGAAGTGTAAGACAATTGTTTTAATGCTTCAAGGGAAAAACAGTCTCAGGTGAATAATTTTGGCCCAAGACATCATTAATTTCCCACATTTTCTATTTCACTTTCCCCAAATAGACCTGTTCTTAATGAAATAAGTGGTTTACTTTAATTATTATAGTATGAACAAACTCTCACCTCTTTTTCAGAGTTATGGTAAAACTTGATTTGAATTCCCAGCTTGAATTCCCCAAATCAACTGCAGTGATTCTGTATTGTGCTTTGAACAATAGTTCTCTAATTGGTTGGTATCTCTGTAGGGGCATTTAGTTAAAGGGTTGCATGGTTAATATGGACATTGAAGATGAGCGTGGGAGTAATTAATTAGCAATTATAGTTGTTTGTAAGGATTGAAAACAATCATTTCACACTTTAGAATAACCAGAATGCAAATTATCTTAACCACATGCTTGGCTTCTTGAGTTTGCAATCCTTTAATCTTCCTAGCAGCACCACTGGTATCCAGAAGTTTAACCTGCCCATGATTCTTCCTAGACAGGAGACTATCGAGAAGTCAGGGTGAGTAGTTTGCTGCCATCTCAGTATTAGTCCAGTCTCTCAGCTGGTTCTACTGACTTAGGTTCCTAAGAAAGGAGGGGTGCCTTTCTAACTTGTGTCCAATGCCATTTTATAACCTCCTTGTAATCAAATTCATTAATGACTAAGTTCCCATTTATCTAGCCCACAATAAATATTTATTCCTATTACTCAACCTCTGCTTGGAACTTGACTCTAAGCTCTGGGAATTAAGGTAACTCACATTTGCTGTTAGATCTGCTGTCCTGCCCTTGCTTTGTCGGAGACTCTTTTGAAAAAGAGTTTCAAAGCTTTTGAAACTTTGACACCTGTAGATGAGCCATCTTTTGCTATTTATTTATTCAATCATCATTTCCCCAAGATCTGACATAGACCAATCTCCCAAATTAGAACTACTTTCAAACTCACATTTTTGGCTACCTTTATGACTTCTTGGCTTAGATAGAATACTCTGACACCCACAATGGTCTAGGTTCCAGGCTTCTACATGTTGGCTACTCCATCCCCTGACTACCCCCTGTTCTGACAATCACTATGTGCCATGTCTGTTTTTAAAGACTGTATAACTGTGAGCTAGACATTAAAGCACTTGAAAAGTCAAGAACATTTAAAATAACTGCTTATTATATAAGTGTAACTTGATTATAGAAGATTCCTATGTTTTATTTTCAATAAAAAAGTTTTTAGTGATTCTTCAGCAATGTTAGAAGCTGACCTGAATTTCTTACATTATAAGGAAATGAGCCATAATTCTATTATGTAATATTCGTATTCTACTTCAAATGCTATTATTTCATCATTGTTTCTAAATTTCAGCTGTTCAAAATGACTTCAGATCTTATCAGGACAATCTTGGTTGTTGCACTAATTTCCAAACTTATAAGTGCAATGGATCTACAGTTCTACTTGGCAAGACAACCATTTTAAGTTGAATGAGAATGACATCATACTCACACCTGCAAAATCTAAAATGTCTAATAAAGTAGATTCCTATGTCTGAACTTCAATTTTAGGGCACAGCTGTAGATGCAGAACTGATGCCATCTGGTGTGATTCTACAGAATAAGAGAGAAAATTTACCCAGAGTGTGCCATGCACTGGCTTTTCTGGGAATGGCAAGGTGCCAGGATTTGTTTTTGGTTCACTTGCAGGGGTGGAAGCTTGGAACTAGGTGAGTACAAAATATGAAACACTCTATTTTTAGTTTGACATTCCATGTTTCCAATTTGTCTATAGTTTCAAAATTAGTGCAATAGAGTTAAATTTTAAATGGCCAAAATGTTAAAGATTGTAAATGGTTAAACCATTTAGAATAGTGGGAAATATTTGGTTTTTTTTTTGTAAGTAACACTTACTAATCTAGAGACTTTTAGAATACTGAAGATATTAATGTAATACATAAGGTATCTACACTGTGCTGTTGTTTGCTTTTAATTTTGACAGCTACTCTGAGGTATTTGTGCATATTGAAGCTAAATCCACAATTAAAATTTTAGGATCATTAGAATGTCACTGTCAGGCGTCTGTGTCACATACAATGGAAGGTTAAGGATTGAGTTGTAAATCTTTGATGTAGTTCTTTTCTTGTTTGAATCAGTGAAATAAATTTCTCAGTCCTCCATTTTTTATTTTGTCTACACAAAATAAATAATGTTATGGGTTAATAATGATCTGATTAAGTGTCTGAGTCACAAGCATCTTCCCATATAGGAAGCTGGATTATCAGAAGGGCATTTAAACCCAGTAATCAGAACCTAATAGACATGCGGAAAAGCTTTCTGATGGATTAAGGTTAAAAAACTGCCTTATTTTCCTTAATAGTAGCCACTTTATGTAATGAGCCTGAACATTTCTGTCATTCTTGGTCTGTAAAGATAGATCCTGAAGACATGGGTGGGTCCGAGCTAAAACCTTTATATGTGTCTCTTGTTTTATTAGTATGACTCTGAAGTTACTTGAATTTATTGAATAGGTACAGATTCTTCAAGCAAGATGTCTTTTCCTTTCAGATGAAAATCACACTTTCCTATTGGGAATCAAGATGAATTATTATCTTGATAATCGAATAGGAAGTTTTGGACTGAACAGTGGCTTAAACAAATTAGAGGCTTTGTTCTTTTCTCACAGAACGAGGAGGTTAAAGGCAGGCAGCTGCTGGTGTTGGTTCAGCAGCTCACCGGTGTCAGGCTTAATTAAGGTAGCTGCTGAGTTTCCCTTGGCTTTTTCCTTCAGGTTCCAAGATGGTCCCTGCAGCTCCCCACAAGAAGGAGGGAGGCCACAGAGAAAACAAGCCATGCCAGTTCAAATCTACTTCCTTTTAAAGAGCTTCCTCAGCACCCCAGTAACTTTGGCCTTCATCTCATTGGCCAGAACTGTGGCTACTGCTATCTGCAAGATTGTCTGAGAAATGCAGGTTTTGTTGCTGGAGATATAACTGCCTTTCACAAAAATCCAGTTTCTCTTGATAAGGAAGAAAGTGGTGGTGGATCTTGGGAAGACAACTAACAGTTTATGCCCTGGTTACAAAATACAATTGCAGAGGAGCATAAAGTTCAAAAATATCAAAATGTAGTTCCTTCACAACTGGCAAAGCTCCAAGCAGCACTGCTTCCCTCTGAAAGAGTGAGCAGAATGAAGGCATATCCAGTTTTCTCAAAAAACGCTTGATGGGACTGACCTTCTCTCTCAGTCAATATCCTTGTCACACATCAGGATTTTCTAGAGGGCTCTGGGTACCTGCACACTTCCTTGGTGACCATAACCTCTTAATGGAGGGTTAGTATAAGATAAATAATGTTCTACTGTGCTGCTCCCTCATCTGCATCATTTCTGTCCTCCCTAATTTTCCTGTCAGTTATATTTTGGTGGAGTCTGGGTTTGTGTATTTGATTCCTATAAAAAGACCATCACTTTCATGTGTGGAGGAGGGGAATCTTTGCAAAGAAAATCTACCTTACTCCCTTCTGTGACTCCATCACCAATCTAGGAATATCCTGGGAGAAGAATTGCCTCTCAAAACTGCTTCCATAAGCAGCCTACATCCTAGCTAAGCAAAGAAGAAACACTTCCCACATCCAGGGCTGTCTAAAAGAACTTTCTGTGATGACAGAAATGTTCTATATCTGCAGTGTCCAATATGGTAACCACTAGCCACGTGTGGCGCATGAACACTTGAAATGCGGCTATTGTGACTGAGGAAGTAAAATTTAAATTTTGTTTAATTATAATTAATTTAAATTCACATAGCCAAATGGGGCTACTGACTATGATATTAGACAGCACAGTACACTTTATTCTCTTTCTTATATTGTAGAACCAGCTGGGAGACATGTGGGCCAGTCATGGGCTTGATGTCCCATGGTCTTCACTATTCTACCTTGCCATTGAACTTGTCTCCCAGAGGAAAAGAAAGAATGGTATTTGGAATTAAATTCAAGATGTTAACTTGACATCTATATATTGCACATATTCCTGTATAGTGAATGGAATGGTCTCCTGGGAATAGGCTCTGTGATTGATTTTAGTGATAACTGGTCATGAAGAAATGGCCATACTGCTCCACTTCACCTTTCTAGTGACTATTATGTGTTCCTAGTCAGAATGACTCAGCAGAGATTATTTTGTTCTCTTGTGCAATTTATTCTGTGTCATTTTATTTTTGTAATATTGTGGCAGCTAAATGATTATTCTGTGTAAGTTTTTCAAAATATTAGGTGGCTTATATTTTTTAAAATGCTATGAAATAAAAATAAACTATATGTTAACACAGTTTTTAATGTGGCTTTTTATTGGTGAGTTATTATTACCAAACTTTGTTAACAGTTAATTAGAATGAGATTCATAGATAGAAATATTTATTTTGCTGGGCGCTGTGGCTCACGCCTGTAATCTCAGCTCTTTGGGAGCCTGAGGTGGGTGGATCACGAGGTCAAGAGATTGAGACCATTCTGGCCAACATGGTGAAACCCCGTCTCTACTAACAATACAAAAAATTAGCTGGGTGTGATGGCGTACGCCTGGAATTCTAGCTACTTGGGAGGCAGAAGAATGGCTTGAACCGGGGAGGCGGAGTTTGCAGTGAGCTGAGATCGGGCCACTGCACTCCAGCCTGGGCGACAGAGCGAGACTCAAATAAAAAAAAAAAAGAAATAATTATTTTTATGTTAAATTTAATTTTTAATGGGCAAATCTATATGCCAATTAATGTTATCTTCTTGAAATATTAAATGATTCTTTCATATATTCAGAGTTTGGATAAAGTATGAGGGTCGTATAGCATTACTGGATTAATTCTTTTCTCAGGTATCTGGTTGTTTCATCACACTGCGCATCACTTGGACCTTATTTCTCTACACGTGTCCTGTTTTGGGTTGTTTGTTTTTCTTTCGTTATTGTGTTATAGGAATTTTTGATATCTTCTGGACACTAGTCCTTTATCAAATATACATGCTTTGTGAATATTTTCTCCTACTTTGCGGTAGCCTATTCATTTTCTTAACAATGTCTTCAAAATATGTATTTTTAATTTTAAAGTTTAATTTTTTTTTTTTTTTTTTTTTTGAGATGGAATCTGGCGTTGTTTCCCGAGCTGGAGTATAATGGCGAAATCTCAGCTCATTGCAACCTCTGCCTCCGAAGTTCAAGCGATTCTCCTGCCTCAGCCTCCTGAGTAGCCGGGATTACAGGCACCTGCCACCACACCCAGCTAATTTTTTGTATTTTTAATAGAGATAGGGTTTCACTATGTTGGCCAGCCTGGTCTCAAACTCCTGACCTCGTGATCTGCCCACCTTCGCTTCCCAAAGTGCTGTGATTACAGGCTTGAGCCACTGCACCTGGCCTTAAAGTTTAATTTATCCACTTTTTTCTTTTATGTTGATTGCTTTCTGTGTCCTAAGAGACTTTTGCCTATACTGTGTCACCAAAAATATTCTCCTGTGTTTTCTTCTAAATTAGAAACTTTATAGTTTTAACTTTTACTAGGTCTATTATCGATAATAAATTAATTTTTGACCTGGCCTTATGGCTCACACCTATAATCCCAGCATTTTGGGAGGCTGAGGAGAGTGGAACATCTGAGAGCAGGCGTTCAAGACCAGCCTGGCCAACATGGTGAAACCCTGTTTTTACTAAAAATACAAAAATTTGCCAGGTATGGTGGTGGGTGCCTGTAATCACAGCTACCTGGGAGGCTGAGGTTGGAGAATCGCTTGAACCCAAGAAGCTGAGGCTGCAGTGAGCCTGTCACTGCACTCCAACCTGGGCAACAGAGTGAGACTCTGTCTCAAAAAAAATTGGTTTTTGTGTATGGTATGAGGTGAAGATCGGGGTTCTTTTTTCCTCCATATAGAAGTAATGTTTCTGTTTTTGTTTGTTTTTATTTGTTGAAAAGACTTTCTCCATTGGATTACTTTGGCCTCTTTGTCAAAATCAAATAACCATGTAAGTGTGGATCTCTTTCTGGTTTCTCTGTTCTGTTCCATAGCGCCAACCTTACATCATTCCCACAGTCTCTTGATTACTGTTAAGTTTTATTGTAAGTCTTGGTATTCACCATAAAATACTATGAATTTGAACCTTTATAATAAACTCCTACTAAGGCTGAGTCTACACATACTAAGAAGCTTGAGTAGTTTTGTTGAAAGTGGTTCAAATTCATTTTTAAAAACTGTGCTTCCTTTATCCCTGCTCTTAGCTCCATGGAAAATCAGAGTCTATGTCTGGGGTAGCTCTTGGTCAAGAGGTATGCCCTCAGGTTTCAACCTATCATGACAAACTATATGCATGTTGTTTTTACTTTGTTTTTTAAAAAAATTTAGCAATTATTCTCTATTAATCTATTCAACAAATGCTTATTGAGGATCTACCTGGTGCCAGGCACAATTCTGGTTACTTAGGCTGTATTAGTGAACAACAACAAAACGATACCTTCCCTATCGTGGAGCTTACTTATCTTCTGCACATATGGTTGCCCCTTTTTAACTGCTCTGTAGTATTTCATGTGTAAAAAAGCATAATTTACTGAACCAATTATTTGTTAATGGACATTTAGTTGTTTTCAGGCTTTGCTACTACGGAAAATAGTACGGTAATCTTTGACATAAATCTTTGATCAGTATGTGCATATATCTACAGGATAAACTTTTAGATGTGGACTATTTAGGCATGTACATTTTGTACAAAATTTTTTTTTTTTTTTTTTTTTGAGACGGAGTTTCACTCTTGTTACCCAGGCTGGAGTGCAATGGTGCGATCTCGGCTCACCGCAACTTCCGCCTCCTGGGTTCAGGCAATTCTCCTGCCTCAACCTCCTCAGTAGCTGGGATTACAGTCACGCGCCACCATGCCCAGCTAATTTTTTGTATTTTTTATTAGTAGAGACGGGGTTTCACCATGTTGACCAGGATGGTCTCGATCTCTTGACCTCGTGATCCACCCGCCTCAGCCTCCCAAAGTGCTGGGATTACAGGCTTGAGCCACCGCCCCCGGCTTTTTGTACAAACTTGTTATTGAAACTGGAAACATAAAATAGAGGAAATATTGCTTCAAAATTTATTCTCATTATTTTAAAACTTTATCGATTTGTTTTTTTAAATAGATTTCATAACTGAGGGGCAGTTTTCAGGTTATAGAATAATTGAGTTGAAAGTACAGAAAGTTCCCACATATCATCCCCACACTTTGTTTCCTCTATTACTATTAAAATCTTTTTTTTTTTTTTTTTTTGAGACAAAGTTTCAGCCTCTTGTTGCCCAGGCAGGAGAGCAATGGCGTGATCATGGCTCACTGAAACCTCTGCCTCCCATGTTCAAGTGATTCTCCTGCTTCAGCCTCCTGAGTAGCTGGGATTACAAGCATGCACCACAATGCTTGGATAATTTTGTATTTTTAGTAGAGATTGGGTTTCACCATGTTGGTCAGGTTGGTCTCGAACTCCTGATCTCAGGTTGTCTGCCAGTCTCGGCCTCCCAAAGTGCTGGGATTACAGGCGTGAGCCACCGTACCTGGCCTAAAATCTTTTAGTAGCATGTTACTTTTGTTACAATTGATGACACATATTAATACATTATTAACAAAAGTTTACAGAGTTTACATTAATGTTCCCTCTTGATGTATGTTCTATAGGTTTTAGTAAATGTACCATGACATGCATCCGCCATTACTGTATCACATAGAATTGTTTTACTGCCCTAAAAATCACCTGTGCTCTACATATTTGTCCCTCCCTGCCTCTGAGTCCCTGGCAACCAACCACTGATCTTTTTACTGTCTCTATACTTTTGCCTTTTCTAGAATGTCATAAAATTGGAATCATACAGTAAGGCAGCCATTCAGATTGGCTTCTCTCAATTAACAATATGCATTTAAGTTTCCTCCGTGTGTTTCTGTGGCTTGATAGCTCTTTTCTTTTTATCACTAAGTAATAGTCCATTGCACAGATGTGTATTAAAGGATATCTTGGTTGTTTTCAAGTTTTGGCAATTACAAATAAAGTTGCTATAAATTTTCTCATGCACGTTTTTGTGTGGACGTTTTCAACTCATTTGAGTAAATACCAAGGAATAGGATTGCTGGATGGTGTGATAAGACAATGCTTAGTTTGTAAGAAAGTGCCAAACTGTCTTCAACAGTGGCTTACCATTTTGCATTTCCACTAGCAATGAATGAGTTCTGGTTGCTCTACATTCTCATCAGCACTTGATGTTATCAGTGTTTTGTATTTTAGCCATTCTAATACCTGTCTAATGGTTTCTTGTTTTAATTTGCATTTCTCTAATGATGTATGATGCTGAACATCTTTTCATATGCTATTTGTCATCTGTGTATCTTTTTTGCTGAGGTGTCTCTTTAGACCTTTGCGCATTATATAATTGGGTTGTTATTTTTTTTCTTATTGTGAGTTTTAAGAGTTCTTTGTATAACTTGGATATCAGTTCTTTGTCAGATAGGTATTTTGCAAATATTATCTCTGTCTGTGGTTTGTCTTTTTATTCTCTTAACAGTGCCTTTTGCAGAGAAGACGTTTTTAATTTTAATGAAGTTCAACTTAACAATTTATTCTCTCATGGATCATGCTTTTGATGTTATATCTAAAAGTCATCACTAAACGCAAGGTCACCTTGATTTGTTTCCTAAGGTATTTTCCAGGGGTTGTATAGTTTTGCATTATACATTTAGGCTTGTGGCCTGTTTTAAATTAATTTTTGTGTAAAGTGTAAATCTTGTCCAGATTTGTTTCTTTGCATATAGATGTCCAGTTATTCCAGTACCAATTTGTTGAAAAGACTCATGATTTTCTTTTCTTTTTTAAAATTTTACTTTAATTTCCAGGATACAAGTACAGAATGTATAGGTTTGTTACATAGGTATATATATACCATGATGATTTGCTGCACCTATCAACCTGTCACCTAGGTTTTAAAACCCACATGCATTAGCTCTTTATCCTTATGCTCTCCCTCCCCTCATCCTCCACTCCCCGACTGGCTCCCGTGTGTATTGTTCCCCTCCCTGTGTTCATGTGTTCTCATTGTTCAACTCCCACTTATGAATGAGAATATGTGGTGTTTGGTTTTTGGTTGCTGTGTTAGTTTGCTGAGGATGATGGCTTCCAACTTCATCTATGCTCCCACGAAGGACATGATGTCATTCCTTTTCATGGTTGCATAGTATTCCACAGTGTATATGTACCACATTTTCTTTATGCAGTCTATCATTGATGTGCATTTGGATTGGTACCACGTCTTTGCTATCGTAAATACTGCTGCAGT